CCTGTTTGCCATGGCCATATTGGGCTTCCTAACCTCTGTCTTAAACAATTCATCCTCCTTCTAATAGGACCCTGGATGTTGTGCTAATGTAATGAAGGTATACAATATGGAATGTAGCTCTTTAGGGGGATTAATGTAATAGTCTCAATAAATATGATAATGAGAAATCCCTTCCAGTATGGGATATATTCAATAATGGTTTTCTGCATGATTAAGAATTTCATAAAGTTTAATCCGTAACAAGGTTAAGGTTATTCTGTACTGTTATTTACTTCACTAGTTATTTAAATATATCTTCCAGGAAAATCAGATGCATCGTGCTAAATTTTCCCTTACACCCAAGAGTGAAGTCAAGGACTTGACAGGTTCAAGTTTTCACAGTTACAAGCAAAGCAGTCTTCTGGATCCCATAGAAGTTTCTTCATCTTCGGATGATGAAGAGGACCTTCCTAATGAAAATGTGTCTAATCAATTAGTCCTTTATGATCCTGTGACAAATGGAAACAATGCAATTGAACTTCCACCTTATCCTCTCCGGTGTGAACCTCCAATGCAAACAAGAAGACAACCTTCACATTCAATTCCTAGAATTTTGCCTTCAGTTGGTGCTTTCACTGTTCAATGTGCATCCTGCTTTAAATGGAGGTTGATTCCAACAAAGGAAAAATATGAAGAAATCCGTGAACATATTCTTGAACAGCCTTTTGTTTGTCAAAAAGCTCTTGAATGGCGACCAGATGTATCTTGTGATGATCCAGAGGATATTTCTCAGGATGGCAGCAGGATTTGGGCTATTGATAAGCCAAATATTGCGCAGCCTCCGGCTGGATGGGAGCGACTACTAAGGATCAGAGCTGAAGGAAGCTCCAAATTTGCAGATATGTATGCATCCGTTATAGGCCCTTTTACTTTGACTTGTCATTGAAATAGAAACACCCTTGTGCAATGATGCAATACTGATTCTTTCCATCTATTAAATAATTCTTTGGGTTAGGAAATATGCTTTTATGCAAACTTTAACTTGTTATTGTAATATTTTAACATTTCAGATATTATGTGGCACCATCAGGCAAGAGATTACGCTCAATGGTAGAGATCCAGAAGTATGTTCTTGCTGCTTTTGTTTTACTGTCTTTGCATGTTACCTTGAAAATTACTTTTCCTTTTCTGAATTATTATTATTACTATTGACATTCGCTTCCAATCTTCTTATAAATTTCTCATGGCGCCTCTGTATTTTTAGGTTCTTGACGGAACATCCTGAGTATACAAGAGATGGGGTTACGCTTTCACAGTTCTCATTTCAAATACCAAGGCCATTACAAGAAAACTATGTGAGGAAGCGTTCCGCTAGACTTCGCTCTTCATATGAAGCCGGTGGACCTGTTGAACATGAGCAAGGTACATACAATTTATAATAAATTATTTGTAGGAATTTAAATGTGAGGTTTTAAACATGAAGCACCAAAATTTATATGGATAAAAAATTAAAGTAGAGAAGGTGTGATTTATATTTTCATTTGTGCACCAAAGTATTCTATTTAATGATTTATATTTTATTCCAATGGATATGAAAGACGTGATCTTCTCTAACGGTTAGAATGCAAAAAAAAAAACTGTCAATCTAGCAACCCTCTTGTGAATACTAAGGATTTTAGTGCATTGTTATAATGGTTATATCTATGATGCAGTGACTCCTCTAGCATGGTTAGGCCCAGAAGGCCATTCTGATTTGCATGCTGGAAGACTGAGGCTTTCTGCTCCTTTCGTGGGATCCCATGATCTTGACCCTATCGGTATCAGCCCTCCTGCAAAGAGGCAAGCGGCAACTCAGAACTTTTTTCATAAAGAGGACCTGTAGTTAGATGCTTGTCTTCTCGGTAGTTAAAACAGAAGGACCCTGATCAAATCTCTAAATATCCTTTTCGATGGAGCATTCAAGGTGTAATATGAGCTTGCCAAATCATGTGAATAACAGTCCAGAGAAGGAACGTTGTCCTAGCGACTCGAGTTTCCTAGAATTAGTAACCATGGAGATAAAGATCTTGGCATTCATAGTAAAGTTGTATTTTGCATGTGGAAAGGTGTGGAAGGACTTTTATTTGTACAAAAATGGGTGCCTTCCCTTATAGGATATTTAAGCCTTGACTAACATTCTGATGTGAAAATATGGCGGGTTATTTGTTTGTAATAGGAAGTTGATGGTGTTTGTTCGTTATTTGAGCTTCTTTTATACATTTTTATTTCACGCCTATTGTTTGATTGAGATCTTAAGCAACAAGGGAAAAGTGTTATCTTTTATAATGATGATGCTCTTGGTGTCGTGAAAAAGGATAGCATCAATAACGATGATAATAATAACATGGGCACATGATGACGATAATTTTGAGGACCAATCATCATACGTACCTTAGGCGAACATGGGTTCTGTAGACTTTAGTGTGTATTGGAAAAAGAAAGGGTATGTCATGATTTTGATGAAGCTTAGAAATGTAAGTCCCTTGGCACATTCGATATTAGGGTGTGTTTTAATTTGAAGGTTTCAGAATTTCTAAAACACGTTTTGATGCATTCAACGCCAAAACAAGCACTCGGAGTTGGTGAGGGTCAGTGAACCAGATGACGAGGGTATCAATATGTCAGCCATGTGTCAAACAATTCCACACTTTTAGAACGCACCAATTCACAAATGACCAATGTTTATGAAAGGTGGGTCGAATACTCTAATTCCTTGTTCTATATTGTCTTTATATTTTATTAGTTGGGTTTTTAAGGTTTTTTTTTTTCTAATTGTTCATATGGTACATATAGAAAGAATTTTGATATTAAAATCAGTAATTGATTGAAAAAGTATTAAATGTTTTAATACATATATGTATCAACAATCATACTTTAAACCTTTATTTATATTAACTGTTATATACTTTTATCTTTTGTTAGTCTAATCACTGTCTAATCACACCTTAATCAACATTAGTTAGTTGGTTCGTGGTTATTATTGGTTACATGTTAATATAATTTTTATTATACAATTAATCGGTGTGTCAGTCATTCAAGATGATCGACTAAGATTATCAATCAGTGTTATCGGCCATGATGATTAGTTAAGATGATTGGTCAGAATGGTCGACCTAAGAATGATTCGTTCGACCCAAGATGTACTAATTGGTCTACTTAGTTGACGAAACAAAGGTTATGTACCATACAACTAATTTTTGGCTTTTCCTTATACATGGTTGCTACTTAACAAATCTAGCATATATGGCTTTACATTGTCGTATGAATCTGTCAAATATGTTGTTTGGGGTAAGGACAATCTAGCAAGGATATTTCTCATGTGCACACTAATGTTCTGTCTTCCCTTGAATTTCAAGGATGCTTTCCGACATTTGCATCATGTAATGTCACCAGAATTAGAATTAGATATTGTTGGACACACCACCAAATCACTTATTCCAACATGAGTGCACTTAGTCCTATGTAAATTGCCCAACATGGCACAAAGGCCATCTTTATTTTATTTGATGTCCTTTCCACATTGACATTATACAAATATTTGGCAAGATTGTAATATATATATATATATATATATATATATATATATA